TGCAAAGCACTTTCAGAGCCTCGGACTGAAGGTGCTGTAGAATGGGCAATTGGTTATTTCATATGGATTAAATCGATTAGGGTCTCGGACCACTGGTCATTAGCCCACAGCAATAGGCTCCAGATATGACCCTAGACAGATCTTTAAGCTTTAGAGGTTGCGGGTAACAATTAGGTTACTTAATGGGTTAAATCCGAATGGATTTTTAAAGAGCCCTTCTGGACAATTCTTTCCTGATCCAGCTTCAGGTATCTAAAGAGCCAGTAACATGCATCCTTCACAATGACACTACATGGTTTTGATGTTTTAATTTGCTCGTCGGTATGGGCCTGATGCAAAGCCTGCTGGAGTCAGTGGAAAATCCCCCCCAGACTTTGGATCAGACCCGGTTTGATCTGCTAGTCACACAGTCTGCCCTCCACGCACCCAGCCAGCTCGTGGGGGTTGCAAAGGTTAAAAATACATGACGGAAGCAGGCTAAAGATTATATAGGCACTGATGCACACCTTTGTGTTATTTTACTTGCTAGGATGCTGCAGAGAACATACCATGATAGCTAATGTTTGAGCAGTTTAACCATACTGTACTTTACCTTTCTTTCAAGAGTCGAGGCTTCTTAGTGCTGTACATTCTCCTACTCCAGCCCCCTCAAACTAATCAGTAAAGGTCCAATCTTGTAAAGGCTATTGTCAAAGCCAAAGGGGAGTGTTTCAATTGATTGCAATGAGCTTTGGATCAGGCCCAGCCTAGACCCAGCCTGCTCCCATTGAAGTCAATGTGAGCTGTGTCAATGATGCAGAATCAGGTCCTAAAAAATCCTTTTCAGGTCTATATCTGAGACAGGGTAGGGAGGGGGGAATCCTGCACTGACCTATTTGATTTCACTACAGAATGAAAACCTCCCTATAAAGGGGCCTGTTTGGATTGCGATTCCCACTGAGTTCAATGGGAGCAGAATTGGGCAGGATGGATCATGCACAGATCATTCAGTTTCTTCCAGCCCTGATGTTTTGTGGGGTAACTTACCTCATGTGAGTCACACCATTTATTTCCTGCACAACCAAAGCCAGGCTGGAACAACCTGGTGTGCTGGTTGCTATGTACCGAATGTGCTGGCAGAGGAAAATTGAAAATAGCGAAAAGTTGGGATTTTGATGGGGTTTATTCAATCTTGCCCTGTTGCGCTAAATTCCTGTGAACTTGCCTTTTGGTGCCGCACGCGAGAGTGTGGTTCTGCTGCCCTGCCAATGGCCAGATTGGGGAATTGGTATATTTCGTGTCTGGGGCTGAAAACCAGAGATTTCACAATAGCCACTTAGGCCACAACAAAGGGAATCATTAACCTCCTGGAACTTGGCAGCTTTCATTCATTGCCATTCATCAGCAGGATGAGCCCTTCAGACAAACGGAGTGGTGGGATGAAAGGGGAGCAAGAGGGTTTCTTTTTCCAACCCACGCTCCAGACAAATCTTTGCTAATTTCTGCAGCTGCGGTGGAAATTGTAAATCAAAGCAATGTAGAATAAAGCTGCCATTTTACAACAGCACACATAATAAACAGTTTATTTAGTTCCTACCTCTGATTGCTACCCATCATTAGCCTCTTATGTGCGTGTTATGATGTTGATAACAACACTTAGACCATTTTTTTCCTTGAGACTCTCAAAGCATGTCACAGACGTTGACTGGAGCCGCACAGTGTTCTGTGATGTCGGCACCATTGCCCCATTTTGCAAATGGATAAAAAAGTGGGGCATCCTGGACCTGATTTTCAGAGGTGCCTGAGAATATTCAGCTGCAGGGGGGGCTCAGCACCAGAAAACCAGGCCCTTAGAGTTGAAGGGCAACCCTTTCAAGGACCAGCTTTTCAGATATTTAACTCCTCCCGGGCACCTCTCTGTATCTTTGTGCACCTAAGTACCTTTGAAAATTTGGCCCTCAGTGTCGTAGGGACCTAAGTCCCAATATAGGCTTTGAAGTCCCTTAGGCACTTTTGAAAATTATGCTCTAAGTTACCCGTCGAGGTTATCCAAGACTGAGTCCCAGTCCCAATCAAAGGCCTAGTTATACTGGAGTTGGCGACTGAGCAATGATGACAGGCTTGTAGGTCTTTCACATTGCAACTGAAAAATGCACAGTGAAAGTTTCAAGCGGATGGCTGCCTCTTAAATCTGAGGCAATGTTGCCTCAGGGTCTGAAGATGTGGGTTCTAGTCCCAGTTCTGCCACTGAATCACTGTGTGACCACGGGCAAATAATTTCACCTCTCCATACTTCAGTTTCCCTACCTGTAAAATGGGGATAATACTTACTTTGGTAAAGTGCTTTGAGATCCACAGATGAAAAACCCTATATAAGAGCAAAGTACACAACTCACGACCCGCCAGGTTCTAAATGTGTGAAACTGACTGGAGACGGTGCTGGATTTATGTACTAAAATATACTGAGTTTTCTATAACCTCAGGACCAGATGCTGCTACCTGAGCCCTGAAGAGTGAGATATTTTCAGTGAGACCAATGGAGTAAGGGCATCAGCATCTGGCCCCAAGTTTGATGATTCTGCATGCCCAGTATCAATAATTTAGAGGCATCATCCAGGAAGTGCTGGTAGGTTTGTGTGGGAGAGAAGTAAATTTGGTACCAGAGGAGTGACAGCCCCAGTGATCCGGTGCAGTGAGGGTTATGGTGAGCAGTGGGGGGTACAGAAAGAACATGGCTTTTGTTTTAAGCACACAGTCTACCATCGATGATTTAACTGGGATTTGGTCCTGCTTCGAGCAGGGGGTTGGACTAGATGACCTTCTGGGGTCCCTTCCAACCCTTATATTCTATGATTCTATGATCCTACAGAACAAACAGTTGATGACAGAATTGCTGTCTTGAGTAAAGGAACTTCTAAGCTCCCTATGCCAAGGCAGCGGGATTATTGTCCTTGCCCTTCCAACAGGAGTTAGAAACCTAGAGTGAAGGCATTCATTTTTGTGGCTACAGCCCCTTGTGCTCTTGAGCCAACACAGACTGTTGTAAGAGAATAGACAGGGAGTCAGCATTACTGTGTGGACATCCAGGAGTCCCCAGAACTCCTGATCCTTGTGACAGATCAGGAGTGAGGGTGTGCTATGAGACTGATGGGAAGATGAATGAGAACCGTGAAGAACGTGATCTCAAAAGAGATTCTACAGGCTAAGGGCCAGATCCTCAGGTGGTGTAAACAGGTGTGATTCCACTGAAAGCCACTGCAGATACACCAACAGCAGCTGAGGATCTGGCCCTACATTTCCAGGGCCCAATTTGCTCTGAATTCTAGTGAGCCAGGCTAAGGGCCTGATCCAGAGCTCACTGAAAGCAATGAAAAGACTCCCATTGCCATTGATGGGCTTTGGATCAGGCTCCTACATGGGAAAAGCACAGCTATTCACCTGTTATAGCAAGCCACAGCACGTCTCTATTCAGGTAATATTAGACTGTACCCGAGGCCAGAATCATTAGGCTGAGATCTGCGGTGATCAGAGGGACTGTCCACTGATAAGGAAAATCTCCATTCAGTTATCTGTAGGGTGTTTTAGTCGCTAACTGCAATCTACAGCCAGGGCACTCAGCCTAGCTGTGAGACTCAGTCACTTGAGGAGGATTCTGAAATTCATTGCATGAATTCCCTGCTAACAAAGCTAGGCATTGTATGTTTCATGTGTGTCAAAAATAACAAGGAAAAACACATGGGCACCTTGCTTATTTCCAGGTTGTGCATAGACACACGTGAGCGGTGACTCATAGCCTCTAGGCTAACAATGCGTTTATGAGCTCGGGCTGTGTCAGCTTTTCATGGGTGGGAAATAAATATGCCCACTGGTCCAGACCCTCAGCGTAGTTCCATTGACTTCAATGGAGCGACGCTAGTTTACACCAGCTGAGGATTTGAGCCCTCCGCCCTCTCTTCTTAATCACCAGCGAAGCTTTCAACACGCAGATACACCGGACATGGTTCTTATGCAGAGCTCCTTCTGCAACTTTAAGATTTGAGAACAACTGATTTGATCCCATTGACATCTGATGGCACTATTTGGGAGGGTTGGTTTTTACAGCAGGACATTAGGATTGCACTGACAGTCGGCTAACCTCCAGCCATCACCTTTTCCGAAATGCAGCATGGTCAGCTTTAGACCTTGGGTTGTGAACAGCTTTCAGCACCAACACTGTATGAATCACAGCTAGGAACTAAAGGGACTTGCAGCATTTGGAACCAGTTACATTAGTGGTTCTGTATTCTCCCCTTACCTTCCTTCCCCTCCATGGACACACACACTGTCACACACACAAGTGTTTTTTTCATTCGCACACAATACTCTGTTGCTTTACAGACATACACACAGTGCTCCAAAAAAAGAACAGGAGGACTTGTGGCCCCTGAGAGACTAACCAATTTATTTGAGCATAAGCTTTTGTGAGCTACAGCTTAGTCTCTCAGGGGCCACAAGTCCTCCTTTTCTTTTTGCGGACACAGGCTACACGGCTGCTACTCTGAACACAGTGCTCTGTTACACACACACATACACAAATTGTGGCTTCGCTCTCATATGCAATACTAGTTTTCACATACATCCCACCATACTCCAATATGTAGGTTTTATACATCCACCCACAAATGCTTACACAACATTCTGTACACACACACACACCCCCATTCTGTTCCCACACAAATGCACGCACAACATTTTGTGCCCACACAAATGCTCACACAACATTCTGAACACACAGAACATTCTGTACACACACGCTCCCAAAATTCTGCACACACAAACACAACATTCTGCTCACACACATGCTCACACCCCCCATTCTGCACACAAACACCCCCCCCCCCACATAATATCCCGTCCCATTACACCTACGCTGGCTTCTGGACAGCCTGCCCCGGCTTGTCACCTAGTGCCCCCCCCCCCGGAGCCGTGCAGGTGACCCCCCCCACACACACACCTGGCCCAGGTGGGAGCCCTGCGCGTACCTGACGATGCCGTACATGACCAGGATGTTCCCCAGCAGCCCCACCACGCACACCACGGAGTAGAGGGCGGTGATGGCGATGGCGATGGCGATGGAGGTGGGGTCCTTGGCCGCGGGCAGCCCCGTGTGGTTGAAGCTCTGGTTGGGGCAGGGACCCCAGGGCGAGGCGCGCAGGCGGCTGCCGTTGGAGAAGAATTCGGCGTCGGCTTCAGCCCCGGGCAGTGTGGACAGCTCCATGGCGGGGCGAAGCGGGGCGAAGCGGGGCGAGACTTTCCAAGCAGCCGCCACCCCCTTGCAGCCCTGGAAAGGGGCGGGGGGGGGCAGCCCTGGAAAGGGGCGCGGGGGGGGAGCCCTGGAAAGGGGCGGGGGGGGCAGCCCTGGAAAGGGGCGCGGGGGGGGAGCCCTGGAAAGGGGCGGGGGGGGGCAGCCCTGGAAAGGGGCGCGGGGGGGGAGCCCTGGAAAGGGGCGGGGGGCAGCCCTGGAAAGGGGCGCGGGGCGGGGGTTCGTGGTTGCTGGCTGGCCCCGCCGCCGCCCCCTAAAGTGCAGCCGACTCCCGGGCTCCTCCCTAGACCCGCAGGGGTGGCTGCAACCGACCGGGAGCCTGGCTCGGGCTCCGGCCGAGGGGGAGCCGCTTCCGACGCCGATCCCCGCTCGCCTGCTCCTCCTCCGGCGCGGATCGCGGGCGGAGAGCGGGGAACCTGCCGCCGCCGGGGCCAGAGCGATTTCGTGTCAAAGCTGACAACTCCCCTGGACGTCGGCAGCCACGTGGTGGCAGGGAATCAAAAAGGCGTGCCTGTCAATCAAAACCCATGGGCTGGGGTGGGGGGGGGGGGAGCATGGGCGGTGAAATGTTCCCCTTTGCCAACAAGTGCCCCCCCCCCCAGCCTTGGAGGGGGTCCCTGGAGCTTAGCCAAGGAGCTCCAGGCAGGATAGGAGCCAGGGTTGCAGCCCAGCTGGGCAATCGATGGGGAGAGGGGGAATTCAGTGCCACATTAGCCGCAGATGGAGGGGAAAGGTGGGCTGGACGCCGTTAGTCCTGGCCGGTCTAGGGAGGCTTCTGTGCCAGCGGCTGAGGCCGTCGCTTGAGAACCGGTGGGGCTGGAGCCATGCAAGGAAGCCTTGCCTTGCGGGGCCCCAGCAAGTGCCCTCCGAATGCCATCTGTGGGGGTGGGGGTGTAAAGGGATGTGTGTGAGTTTAACATCATTGGGGAAATAAATTACCTCTGTAAAGGGGAAGTTAAACACACCACCTCCACCCACATCCCAGTGACCAGTCAGCCACCACAGTCCTGCTGAGACTTGTCTGATTCTATATTGCATCCCTTTCTAGGCTATCCTCATTTCACCAATCAAAATTTCCCCCCCCAGTTCAGCTCCATTTACATTTGCGCCTTTTATTTCATTTTTCTCCTTTTTTTCTACTCCTCAGCCACCTCCCTTCATAGACATTGGGATCCTGCCCCCCCCCCCGCCCCCCAGTTATCCACCTCATTGCTCCAAGCAGAGAGGCCAGTGGTAACAAAGACAGTTTTCACCAAAGGCAGAGCTCAGCTCCTAGAAGAGGGCAGGATATTTTCCCATCCCCAGCTGGTTATGTAATGGCCATAAATATTCATAAGCTGAGAATGTGCAAAGACGTGTGCTCATTAAACAAGAGACCCCTGCAGTAGGACACAGGACAAAACAGATGTTAGGCCTTCTTGTCTTAAGGGGAGGGGGAATAAAGGGTTGGATTTTTATTTTTTCCTTTTGCAGCATTCTCCCCGCCCCACCCACCCCACTCCAAGGGAAGCAGATGTGGCTGCTCAGTGGGATATTTACTTACACACCCACAGAAATGTTCTTAGAGACAGAAAGATGGATGCTCATTTCTGCCCACCTCACTGTGTGGTTGCTTATACCTCACAGTCAGGCAAAACAGGGCTTTCTCAACTGTACCTTGGTAGGATTGTAAAGCTTTTACTCTGCCTAGATCCCTTGACAGACATCAGTTTTCCTATAGACCTGGCACCTTTCTCTTTCTTTTGCTTTCCAACACACACAAAAGCACCCCTCCCTATCTTTCCATCTAGCTAAGCTAGGGGTAACCTTTGTTTGGTTAAGCCTCATGAAAAGAGATGTGATTACTCTCTACCTAGCCACAAGGGGCTCCAGAATGTTCGAGGCCTATAGATCAGGGAAGTCAAGATGAAACAGCATGTTCTCAATTAGATCTCTTTAAAGTCCCTAGGGAACTGGGAAATATAATAAAGGGATGATTCCCCACACTCTGCTTGGCAGAACTTTCATTAGTAGACAGGCTAGGAGAGAATTGTTTTTACATTGTTGGCAGAGAAGTCCTAACTCATCTTAACTAATTAGCCTCTTACAGTTTGTATGGCAACTTCCACCTTCTGTGTATCTATATCTTCTTACTATATGTTCCATTCTATGCATCCGATGAAGTGGGCTGTAGCCCACGAAAGCTTATACTCTAATAAATTTGTTAGTCTCTAAGGTGCCACAAGTCCTCCTGTTCTTTCTAACTTATCGGATACGTTGACATTTTTGAGAGAGATAAGGTGGGTGAGGTGATATATTTTAGTGGACGAACTTCTGTTGGTGGAAGAGACAAACTTTTGAGTTTGCACAGAGCTCTTCTTCAGGTCTGGGAAAGGTAAGCAGGGCTAAATACAAGGAGGAACAGATGGTTAAACATAAGGAGTTGGCACACATTGAAAGAGACCATTCAGGGTGAAGTGGGTAGTTAACACCTCTTCTGTCATAGGTGAGATGGTGCTTTGGCTTTTATAATTTGTCTCTGTGTGTTCATTCGAGAGTGCAGTGTTTGTCCGGTTTCACCCACGTAGTTGTTATTGGGGCATTTAGTGCACTGGATGAGGTACCCCACATGTTGTGATAGGCATGTATGGGAGCCATGGATCTTGCAAGGTGTGTTGTGGGGGGTGTTTATCATTGTAGCAGAGGAGATACATCTGTAGTTTGTGGCAGTGTCTGGTGCTGCTTTGCGTTGGTGTGTCCTGGTCTGTGGGGAGCTTGCTTCTGATGATGAGCTTGGCAAGGTTGGGGTGTGGTTTGAAGGCCAAAAAAGGGGGTTCAGGAAAGATTTCTTTTGGGATGTGGTCCCTGTCGAGTATGGTATTTTTAGATCTGTGGTTTCTTTTCATGGAGGATTGCATTGCAAGCTTGCCATGCATGGTTTTCTTTGTCAAGTGTGGTCTAATGACAGCAGAGACTGTCTATAAACCAGAAGCCAATAAAGGGTATGTCATAAATATAAAGGGAAGGGTAACCACCTTTCTGTATACAGTGCTATAAAATCCCTCCTGGCCAGAGGCAAAACCCTTTCACCTGTAAAGGGTTAAGAAGCTAAGATAACTTCGCTGGCACCTGACCCAAAATGACCAATGACGGGACAAGATACTTTCAAATCTGGAGTGTGTGTGTGGGGGGGGAACAAAGGGTTTGTCTGTTTGTGTGAGGCTTTTGCTGGGAACAGATCAGGAATGCAGCCTTACAACTCCTGTTAAGTTAGTAAGTAATCTAGCTAGAAATGCGTTAGATTTCCTTTTGTTTAATGGCTGGTAAAATAAGCTGTGCTGGATGGAATGTATATTCCTGTTTTTGTGTCTTTTTGGAACTTAAGGTTTTGCCAAGAGGGATTCTCTATGTTTTGAATCTGATTACCCTGTAAGGTATTTACCATCCTGATTTTACAGAGGTGATTCTTTTACCTTTTCTTTAATTAAAATTCTTCTTTTAAGAACCTGATTGATTTGTCATTGTTCTTAAGATACAAGGGTTTGGGTCTGTGTTCACCTGTACAAATTGGTGAGGATTCTTATCAAGCCTTCCCCAGGAGAAGGGGTGTAGGGCTTGGGGGGATATTTTGCAAGAAGACGTCTCCAAGTGGGCTCTTTCCCTGTTCTTTGTTTAAAACGCTTGGTGGTAGCAGCATATGGTTCAAGGACAAGGCAAAGTTTGTACCTTGGGGAAGTTTTTAACCTAAGCTGGTACGAATAAGCTTAGGGGGTCTTTCATGCAGGTCCCCACATCTGTACCCTAGAGTTCAGAGTGGGGAAGGAACCTTGGCAGGGTATAAACACAGAAGCCTTTTGCAACAAAGACAAGAGTGCAGTCACGTGGGCCAAGATTTTCAAAAGGGACTAGTGATTTTGTGCACCTCAGTGTTTGCATGTCCAACTCCATGTCATGTCACACTGGGCAGCCAAAAGTGGAAGCATCTTCTAGTCACTTCTGAAAATCTTGCCCGTGCAATATTAGTTTGGCCCCTAATGCATTTGCCTTATGATACAGTCTTGACTTACATGATCACATACTGTTTTTTCCACAGGACCCCTGCCACAAGATGCACCTGCTCTGAGGATGCATCAGGGTTGTGTAGCAAATAAGCCTGTTGTCTTAAGGACCATGGCTTCATTTGTTGCAGAAGTTGGAAGTTGTGTGGTACATAAAGCAAAGGATTTCAGGAAGAGAAAGGATGAGCTTGTGGCTTAGGCAGCTGAATGCTTCCCTGGATAAATGAATTCTACCCCTGCCTCTGCCACAGCATTTCTATTTGATGCTGGGCAAGTCACTTGAACCAAAAGGTTTACAGATGGTCACTGATTGTGTGTTCCTCATTTTCTGGGCACCCAACTTGAGACATATGGAGCCAGGTTTGCAGTAGTGCTAAGCATTCAGAAGTGCAACTGAAGTCATTTGTATCTGAGCTTTGAACATATGAAATGCATTCAAGAGGCTCCATCCCTCGGAAAAATTAGGCCCTACATGTCTCAAGTTGGGCACCCAAAATCAATGGACACTTTCAGCAATTTTGGCTTGAATCGCTCTGTGCCTCAGTTCCCCTCAGTAAAACGGGAATAAGAATGGTTCTTAATCAGGGGTGTTGTGTGTCTAAATTCAATAATGGTGGCGAAGCACTCAGATACTATGGTGAGACTATCCTAGAAATACCCAGAAGGAAATTAACCATTTTGTATTCAGTGCAGGGTTTGGATAGTGTGTGGTAAATAAGGCCTGGGACCACACATTGAAAAGGAGGGATAAGAAATATTGAACAACTACCCATTCACTGAATGAGGCGGTAGTCCTGTTGAAATAATACTAGGTGATTAAAGACCGTATCACCATGCATACACGCAAGGGGACTGAATTAAGGTTGTACATGTTGCCTTCTGCTGTTTCCCAACTTTCGAGTGCTTGAATTTGCAACATGATAACGTAGCTTTTTTGGGGGTGGTGTGCACTACAATTATAAT